CTTATTTATTTTTATTCCTTGAGAATTTTATACATATATATAATGTGTTTTGATCAAACACACCCCCATTTCCTCCCTTCAGCTGACCAACACTAATTCTTGAATCCCTTCAAATCAGCGTGGGCTATTAAATTGAAGTGAGCTGACAATCAAATGCATTAAATTGCCTTTGTGGTTCATACAGAAAATACTTAATGGATGAGAAGATAAAACATGTAGGCAATAGCCCATTTTTATTTAGAATGTAAATTGGGAAATAATTTTAAGGGTATAGTTTTGTCTTGTTTTAAGCCAATGGGCCTTTTAAGTGTTGAGTGCTAGGCAGAAGCCAAATGAAATCTGAATTGATTGATTCTTGGGCTTTGCATCTTTTCATTAGCTAATTACTGCAAATACAGGTTCCCTTTCTATTAGGCTGTCCCATAGTAGCAACAAGGTTCACCCTAGCTTAGAAGACTGGGGAGGATGAGCACTGTACTGAATCACTGAGCATCTCTCCATCTTAGTATCTCTTGCTTCCTACCATGGCTGTGCCCTCATCTGAAATCACTCTCTGGTGATGAATTGCTCAAGGGCAGAAATCTCAGAACACTCTGTGCACCCAAGAGCCAGGCTCGAATCTTGGCACACACAGGGAATTCAGGAAATGACTGTGGAACAATGGCTTGAGTTGCTGATATTTCCACTCTATAGCAAATAGGTGAAGGAATTTGCTGTCACCCTAGTTCACATGCTTTATGCTGCTTTGTACAGCTGAAGATATCAAACATTAAGTCCACATGTGACATGTCATGTGGACTCCTAAGAATTGAAGTGACATTAGGGGCTTTTGTAAAATGAACTTCTTGGCTACTAAACCTTGTCCATTTCACAGTGTGGACTCCTGTCATTTCTATCTACTTGGAATGTGAACAGAATCTAGTCTCAGAACAGAGACACGGATCCTCCTGCCAAAGCACTGGTGGAGAAGGAAATGGGACCGAGGGAAAGGATTAGATCGTCTAGGGACCCAGTGTTGGAGGTATGAGGACAGAGTTGCAACTTATGTCCCCAGTCTTTTCTATTTCCCACCTGCTTTCTCTCTTCCTCTCTCCTAACCGAAGCTGCAGTTGGACTGCAGATATCTATCTAAGGACCATGGGAGAAGACCCACCTTCCTATGGCTTCTTTAACATTGTTTCTCATTCTATTTTGGTGACAAGAAATGGCCTTCCCTCTGTTCGTTTTGTGACATCACACGTCCTGTATTTTGTTTGAATGGCAATGAGAGGGTGAGTAAGGGGGGTGGTGAGGACTTGGTTCAGTCACCAGAGTACTTGCCTAGCATGCAGGAGGGTTTGACTGGAAGCACCACAGGCATGTGGCAGTGCATGCCTGGAATTCCAGCACTTGGGAGGTGGACGCGGAAGGATCAGCAACTCAAGGATCAGCAACTCAAGGTCAGCCCTGATTATGTAGCCAGTCCAGTCCAAGGGCTGCAAGAAACCGTGTCATATTCCTAAAAGCAAACCAAACCAAAATGATAAACACACACACACACACACACACACACACACACACACACACCAGAACAGGTTTTCCAAATTTCAAGGTTTTTTGGAGACAGAGTCTCGTGCAGCAACCAAAGTTGAGTGGTGTATGACTTTCTGTGAATCAGAGGTCATCGTATGATTTTGCTCTTTGTGTGCCTGCTTTCCAGCAAGGGGGGGGGGGGCAGTACATAGTAAATATCTACAGTGCTACACTGGTTTTTGATCCCCGTTTTCTCCCCACTTTCATCTTTGCCTTTTCCACTTTGTATTTCCTGAATCGGAATTGTGCTCTAAGGCATCCCTCCCTCCCCCAGGATGGAGCACGGTGAACTAGCTAGCTGTAAGCAGTCTTTAAGTGCACATACTTAGCAAAGAAACTCGATTTATCAAGATAACCATACCTCCATGACATTTCTGCTGGACACTTTTAGCAGAGACTCTTTGCACATATAAAGCATGCAGCCGAAGTAAGCGAGATGAAAGACCACTTTCTGACTCTACCCCATCCATCCCTGAATGTCCGGCAGGCAACAGAGAAGAAGAGACTGGATTACTTCTGCTGTAAAGGAATGTGTTGCTTAGGCTCTCTTGCGCTACGTCTTTAGGAAGGAGATTTTTCTAATTTGTTTTCATTGGCAGGTTAAAGCCAGGAGCCTGTACACATGACTCCAAGCAAAGTGCTGCTTCTTATGGTTCATGCTGAACGCCAGACACACTCTCTGATTTCCTTATCTCAGTTCTTCTTTAAACAGGGTAGGTGTTGAAAAGGAAGGGAAAACCAGGGCTGGACTGAAGCCTTCAAGTGTAGCGGTCAAGGCCGAGGAAGCAGGCTTTTGCTGGGATGGATTAGGGATTTTGTAGGCCACAGGAATCTCTCAAGGTCACAACTCCCACAATCCCTTCTGCTGGGCCCTACAGAGCAGTAACTTTTCCGAAGAGAAAAGAGAGCTCTGAAGATAAAGATTTACTAGAATTGTCCCAATTTTTTACTTATCCTGATCCAGAAACTGCTAGTAACTTTGTCCAATTGAATTCACACTTATAACGGAGTAAAGAGCATTGCAAGCCCTTGAAACAGCCTTGATGTCATTTTTCCTAACCCACAGTTGTAGAGAAAAATGCATGAGTCAGCTGACTACAGGCCTCTCCACCAATGGGTCTTCTGGATTTCTTGTGAGAATGCCTTTTGGACCTCGGGTGAGCATTATTTTCCCTGCAGAGTTTATTTTGTTACCTGGTAGAACCTGAGTCGTGAAGAGAGAAGGAAAGCAGAGTGATCTTCATGGTGGAAGAAGAAAGCCGGGCCTCACTTCCGGGAGGCTGTGAAGACCTCTACCTGTGGCGTGATGGCCTCGCTTCCGGAGGCAGTGAAGACCATCGGCGGGATGCCTTTGTCTGGCCAATGAGTGTCCCTCTGTACCTCATTAGGGCTGTTTATAGATGGCAGCGTTCTGTAGAGTGATCTCTAAGGGAAGACTGGAGTCCTTGTTTTGTGGGTCCCTAGACTCATCAAGGATGTGGTTGCATGCACAGTTTTGATCAGAAAACCTTGCTAAATAGGAACATGGTCTCCAAATATTTTGGCTACAAATGAAAGTTTGTGATCACGCAACCATCTATACTAAGTTACAGTGAGTTAGGCTCTGCTAGGTGTCTGCTGGCTCACTAAGTGACTAGATATTTCACTAGTGACCATTTCCCAGAATAATTGGGCTTACTAATAATTAATCACCCACTGAATTCTTGGTTTGAACTTCCCCAGTGTTTTGGTCATTGAGGACAGCTTACCATATCGCATGGATATTTGCTTCCAACGCTATGCTGTGAACCTTTTGCTTTGAGGGAGATGTTGAATGATATGGTCATTTAGTCTCAAGGGTTTTATCATCGGTGGAACAACACCAGGTAGTAAAATGCTGCTGTGTGTGTGTGGGCGGGGGATAGCAAGAGGCCTGGATTTGAGTTCTAAGCCTCTGGATTAGCTAATGTCTTGAGATATGGGTTAGGCAGGAAAAATGCCTTCTTTAAATGCCAACACCACCTCCATAGCTCCTGAGGTCTTGATTCTGCATCAGGTGATTCCTAGTCACAGCTGTGCACAAAATTAGTTGAGAGGGTTCTTTTAAAAGACACTTAACCCCATTCCAAGAAGCTTTATCATTTTAGAAATTGATCAGGAATTCCGGAGGCCAATGAGATGGCTCAGTACAGACATGCTGGGGGAGACCTCTGTTCTGCTGAGGGATGTAGCATTGCATATGAAGACACTCAGTTACTTTATATTTTTAACTATTTGTAACCTGTAAAATCTGCTTAAGCAGAAAAAAGTACATGTTGAATCTGAAACCGGGAAAGACACCCCCACACAGTGCAATAATCCCAGAACAGGATGTGTGGGGTCTTTATATCTGAATAATGAAATGTCCCTGATTCATTATTATGTGGTCAAGCAGAGGGTGAAAAGATCCATGGGACTGCCTTTACCGACAGGATGTTCTCCAGTCTGAATGGAATTAAATAGGAAAGAAAGAGGGGGAGGAGATGAAGGAGTGCAGCAAATGTCTGAAAACCAAAACAGCATGTTTCTAAATAGTAGATGAATGAAACAAAGAAGAAATGTACACTGGGAATTAGTACTTTGAATGTAAATGAAATCAAAGCATATAACCTTACAGAATCTTGAGTCAGTGTGAAGAGG